GTCTTGACTCTTTATCCAGTTTGCCAGTCTGTGTCTTTTAATTGGAGCATTTAGTCCATTTACATTTAAGGTTAAGATTGTTATGTGTGAACTTGATCCTGCCATTATGATATTAACTGGTTATTTTGCTCGTTAGTTGATGCAGTTTCTTCCTAGCCTTGATGGTCTTTACATTTTGGCATGTTTTTGCAATGGCTGGTACCGGTTGTTCCTTTCCATATTTAGTGCTTCCTTCAGGGTCTCTTGTAAGGCAGGCCTAGTGGTGACAAAATCTCTAAGCATTTGCTTATCTGTAAAGGATTTTATTTCTCCTTCACTTATGAAACTTAGTTTGGCTGGATATAAAATTCTGGGTTTAAAATTCTTTTCTTTAAGAATGTTGAATATTGGCCCCCACTCTCTTCTGGCTTGAAGAGTTTCTGCCGAGAGATCTGCTGTTAGTCTGATGGGCTTCCCTTTGTGGGTAACCCGACCTTTCTCTCTGGCTGCCCTTAAGATTTTTTCCTTCATTTCAACTTTGGTGAATCTGGCAATTATGTGTCTTGGAGTTGCTCTTCTCGAGGAGTATCTTTGTGGCGTTCTCTGTATTTCCTGGATTTGAATGTTGGCCTGCCCTACTAGGTTGGGGAAGTTCTCCTGGATGATATCCTGAAGAGTGTTTTCCAACTTGGTTCCATTTTCCCCCTCACTTTCAGGCACCCCAATCAGACGTAGATTTGGTCTTTTTACATAATCCCATACTTCTTGCAGGCTTTGTTCATTTCTTTTTCTTCTTTTTTCTTTTGGTTTCTCTTCTCGCTTCATTTCATTCATTTGATCCTCCATCGCTGACATTCTTTCTTCCAGTTGATCGAGACGGTTACTGAAGCTTGTGCATTTGTCACGTATTTCTCGTGCCATGGTTTTCGTCTCTTTCATTTCGTTTGTGAGCTTCTCTGCATTAATTACTCTAGCCATCAATTCTTCCACTTTTTTTTCAAGATTTTTAGTTTCTTTGCGCTGGGTACGTAATTCCTCCTTTAGCTCTGAGAAATTTGATGGACTGAAGCCTTCTTCTCTCATCTCGTCGAAGTCATTCTCCGTCCAGCTTTGATCCGTTGCTGGCGATGAGCTGCGCTCCTTTGCCGGGGGAGATTCGCTCTTATTTTTTGAATTTCCAGCTTTTCTGCCCTGCTTTTTCCCCATCTTTGTGGTTTTATCTGCCTCTGGTCTTTGATGATGGTGATGTACTGATGGGGTTTTGGTGTAGGTGTCCTTCCTGTTTGATAGCTTTCCTTCTAACAGTCAGGATCCTCAGCTGTAGGATGTAGCTGTAGGAGATTGCTTGAGGTCCACTCCAGACCCTGTTTGCCTGGGTATCAGCAGCAGAGGCTGCAGAAGATAGAATATTTCTGAACAGCGAGTGTACCTGTCTGATTCTTGCTTTGGAATCTTCCTCTCAGTGGTGTACTCCACCCTGTGAGGTGTGGGGTGTCAGACTGCCCCTAGTGGGGGATGTCTCCCAGTTAGGCTACTCAGGGGTCAGGGACCCACTTGAGCAGGGAGTCTGTCCCTTCTCAGATCTCAACCTCCGTGTTGGGAGATCCACTGCTCTCTTCAAAGCTGTCAGACAGAGTCGTTTGCATCTGCAGAGCTGCTGCGTTTGTTATTATTTACTGTGCCCTGTCCCCAGAGGTGGAGTCTACAGAGACAGGCAGGTTTCCTTGAGCTGCTGTGAACTCCACCCAGTTCGAGCTTCCCAGCAGCTTTGTTTACCTACTTAAGCCTCAGCAATGGCGGGCGCCCCTCCCCCAGCCTCGCTGCTGCCTTGCCGGTAGATCACAGACTGCTGTGCTAGCAATGAGGGAGGCTCCGTGGGTGTGGGACCCTCTCGGCCAGGTGTGGGATATGATCTCCTGGTGTGCCTGTCTGCTTAAAGCGCAGTATTGGGGTGGGAGTTACCCGATTTTCCAGGTGTTGTGTGTCTCAGTTCCCCTGGCTAGGAAAAGGGATTCCCTTCCCCCTTGCACTTTCCAGGTGAGGCAATGCCTCGCCCTGCTTCAGCTCTCGCTGGTCGGGCTGCAGCAGCTGACCAGCACCGATCGTCTGGCACTCCCCAGTGAGATGAACCCAGTACCTCAGTTGAAAATGCAGAAATCGCCGGTCTTCTGTGTCGCTCGCGCTGGGAGTTGGAGACTGGAGCTGTTCCTATTCGGCCATCTTGCTCCGCCCCCCGATAGTTTGGTATTTAAATAATTTTTCCTCATGATATCATTTCTTTAGTAGTTACTGTTATTCTGATCAATCTTAGTAAAGTGAATGCTTGAAGAATATATTAACATTAACAAAATGCAAGCAAGATAAATTTTACATCACCAAATAAAGAGCAAATCCTACAAGACAAAAACAATGTCAGAGCTGTCCTGTTATCATGAATACCCTTCACCTAATGTGTTTATAGCCATGCCTGTTCATAGATAACAGCCCTAAAAACCCACCTACAACTTCCAAGGAAAGACTCCTACAGCCACTCACATACACAAATAGAGAGTGAAAAAATACCCTAAAGCTCCAAATATAATGGGAAACACTGAATATATTTTAAAATCCCACAGACATACTTAGAATTGAATAAGAGTAAAATAGATTGTAAATTACTGATGGATAGGGTTCATTTCAAAGATGATCCTTCAGATTTTCAATGTATATTTAAAACTTTTATGGAAAGCTACAGGCTGAATATTCAGCTATAAATATCCATCTGACTTGTGTAAGGTGGTAACTGCTGATCCAATTTTTTAAAAATTGTCTTTTAACAAGCAAACCTCTTTTCTGTTGAAAAAGCATTTCTTCTAGCATGTGTTCTATATGCTTTGTTTCCTCCTTTATGCATTTCTCAACAAGAGTGACCCAGATGTGAAAGTGGTAGCATCATTTATAAACCTCAGCATAAATTAACAGTCAAATTGATATATGATTTTTATTTATTTCTCTATTTCAGTATATTTTGTGACAATCTCTTACCAAATAGATTATTAACAATTCAATTTTATAATCTGCTAGTGCTAATTATAAATCATATTTATGTGTGTGTGACTTATCAATGTTTTGAAAATACATGTTTTATTCCAAAATTTTAAATTATTTAAACCATTTCCTAGACATAGCAAACTAAAAAAGTAAAACTTTCTGGTAGATTTTGCAGTTTAAGACCCACACAGAAACTAAAAGGCTTTAAGAGTCTTACAGGAGTTTTGAAAAAATACTTTCAATCAAAACTAATTCTACTGCTCACTACTTACCACAATAACATATGTTCAATGACTAATTCTGAATGCAACTTACATTTTCTGAATCCTAACAGGGTCCTTTGTGTTTAGAATCACTAGATAATTCAAAAGTGAAAAAGTTCATTCATCCCATAGCTACTTACACATATTTGAAAAAAAAGTAGGAGAAGTTCAAAGTATAGAATTTGTAATATATGGTAAATAGATTTTTGGCCTCAATTATTTTTATTCCTTTCTTTACTCCTTCCATCAATCCATCACAGATCCTTGCCCAATTGAGAGAAAATGTTGTGTTTTCATGGCTTTTATTTGCCAAGAGTAATATTTCACAAATACTTTTCTGTTTAAGAAAATAGATCTTGTCATTCATTTCCTGGATATTTATTACATATGTACTATGTGCCAGGCACTGTCCTGGAGCTACAGTATGTTAAAATATCAACCACAAAAAAAGATGCATGATCTTTGTTCTCCTCAAATTCACCATGTAGTAGATAAGACAAACATAAATACTTATAAAAATGCATGTAATATTATAACCAAGAAAAAGCCTTGAAGGAGAAGTGAATATTCCTGTGACGGCATAAAGGTAGTTGAACAAGTCAAGGAGTCAAGAGGAAAGATTTAGGAGACGACTGAACTGAGTTCTGAATCTAAATAAAGAAAAAGAGTTGTGATTAACTTGAGCAGAAAGATGGGAAATAGCTTACACATTAGTATCCTCTATTCTCCAATCATGAGATTCCTATTTATGTACGTCTAATCAATACGCAAGAGAACTTTTTCCATCAACTTTGTTAAAGGTATTCTCATGGACACTTCAAGTAAAATATGAAAAAGAGAGTTCACATGCTTCTTAGACATTGACATGCATACATGTTATTACTGATATTCGTGGCTTTCATTTCCAATGTGGCATTTCTAACAAATAATTGGCAAAAATCTGTTAATTTTATTTCATTGTTTTCTTGGTGGTCTCTAAATTGTAAACAAAAGGTAAAATTCAGAAAACTCTATGGGCTATATTTAATGAAATATAATATGCTTAATTAAAATAGATTACTATGTACCTGTGAATGGCATTTTTCTCTGATGGTTAATGGTTTTCCTATTCACAGGCTTTATTGTCAGGATAAAAAAGGTAGCAATACATATAAAGTATATCTAGATCAGGAGCCATAAAAATAATTCCTGATTTATTCCAACATTTTCCTGCCAACATATACTGCATATTCTCCTTATATACTAAAAATTCACTTGATACATGAAAAAAAAAATTTAGTACTGAGTTCCTTAGACATAAATTTTCCAATTCATAATTGAAAACGTATAATGGTTAGTAGAGCAAATAATTTAAACTTTCAGAGCCTCTATGCTTTCATCTAAGGAATGGTTATAATAATAGTTTAATAAAGTTTATCCAATAATTAAATTAGGCAATTTATTTTAAAATCTTCTAGCATATTTGCTTACAGAAATACGCACTCATTGTTTGTAGCCTATATTTGTAACTTAATATATACATAACACAAAATGTATAATTGTTATTATAACTGATAAGAATTGTTCATTACTTATTTTATAATTAAAGTCTGGGGGTTTTGACGGCCGGTTAGGGCAGTTTAAAACTCCCTGAAGGGAAACAGAGCCTCTTACTCACAGGAAAGAGAGAGGTGGCAGGGTTTCAGAAGGGAGGAAGACCGGACAGTTTCGCAATTCATCCACACTCACCTTCCAGGATCCCGGTCGAGGTCCCCAGTTGAAAAGGGAAAGGCTCCCTCGTCCCCTCTCAGGGCCTTTGATGGGGGAGTGACTGTTTTCTTCAGTGCCCCGCTGCTCAGACCTCTAGGGGAGCACACAGACAGGCAGGCAATGGGGCTCCTACCCCAGGGCAGGGTCTAAGGGTGAATGTTTACAGCTCCTGAAGCCCCACTGGGCATGTGTTACAGGATACTCTCTAGTCTGCCATCTACAGGCGGCTCGTGTTAACTAGCTCAGTTAGGCCCTCTACCTTGTGGCAAGAACAGAGGGCTTTCTGTATTCTGGGTTTTTGCCTTGGTGTACCTGAAGAATCGGATCACACATGGGCTTGGAGAATGAGTGCAAAGTTTTATTCAGCGGAAGTAGCTGTCCGCCTGTGGGGCAGCCAGAAGGGAGATGGGTTTCCCCCGGAGTTGGGGTGCTCGGCAGGCCCGGCAGTCCTCTGACTGCCCAGGCCAACCCCCGCCTCCTCCCGCTGCTCCACGGCCTTCTGGCTTCTGGGTGCCTGTCAGCGTGTTCTTCCGCTGGCCTGCTCCAATGGACGACCAGTCGTTTGTCGTCTTCCCCGATGTGTTGCTCATCAGGACATCCAGCCACTTGTGTATCTGCCTGCAAGGGTCTCGAGTTTTTATAGGCCCAGAATGGGAGCGTGGAGAGCCAGGGTGGTCTTGGAAAATGTGACATTTGGGCGGGAAAGCATTTGTGCCTGTCCTCACCTAGGTCCCTGGGGGTTGGAACCCTAGCCAGGGACCAGGCTCTCCTCTTCCCAGCACTTCCCTTCCCCTCTTCATTTAAAGGGACCACGCTCTTCCCTTCCCAGGACTCCCTTATCAATTTTATAATTAAAATGAAGTCCACCAAAACTCCTAATGATGAAGTGTTAGAAAAATTCTTATTAATGTAAGAAACATTATAAGTATTACCACTCTCATTACTTCAGTCTAATATTATTTTAGATTATTCAAAATAATGGAATTAGACAAGCTAAATAAATTAGGTGAAAATATGAAAACATTGAACGCAAATGAACACTTTTTTGGGTAGATAAGATAATTTTGTATAAGGATACAATAGAGCTGATTTTTAAACTTAACCAGCACAATATTGCATTAGACTTAGTTTTAGCCAGAGTATTCTATACATTTGTCTATAATTGGTGGGAATTTTAAGCCACTGTGCAGTTCTTCCTGATTATGCACTCGTTACTTTATATCAGCAGTTTGGAATTGGTCATGGTGGGAGTATTTACATCACAGAAAATTTAAAATGTCACAAATTAAAGTCTACCTCCCACTCCCAACCCCAGAAAGCTGGCTGTCAAACTTTACTAGCACCCCTCTGCATCAGACTTATGTTTAGCCAAGCAAAGTGTTCTATATATCTTACTGTAATAATTTGTTTATGGATGAGATGTGAACTGAGAGCCTAAGATGAACATATCAGAGAACTTATTGCAATATTTCTTTTTATTTTAGATTTTTGCCAAGGTTTTGGGAAAACGTGCTCTCTTCTTGATAGAGTTTCAAAAGCAGTAACTTTGGAATCCTTGGCTTCTGGCCACCCGTATAACTATCTCACGGAGAGGTCCTTGCCAAGAGATGGAAAACAGAGTCCTGGTAATGTTAATTGTCTCCCTAGATAGAGTTGTACCGGAAGTCAAACTAAACTCAGATTTTTGCATACATAAGCCAATTGTTTGTCTGTTTTTCTTTATTATTTGATTCTGCATTCTATCACTGTTAAATAAATTTTTCCTGAATATCATTTATATATTAATAACAAACTCTAAAATATTATTTGCTCCAAGACTTTAGAAATAGATAATGAGGTAGATCTTTTCCTGACACATTTTAAGATGAACAATGAAGACTGTTTTCACCTTTGCTTTGTGGTGTGGAGGTAAAAAAAAAGGAAATTCCCATTTATTTTATTTTTGGAAGAAAGATAGAGTATGGAATACCTCTGAGTTCGAAGGTTTACTTTACATATTTGGATATCTCCTAGATTTTTTCCATTCCTCCCATTGCTTTTCCAAAGCCGAAACTTTTTATAGGAACTTAAAGTAGGTTATTTGAGGGGAGAAAAGTTGCTTTAAATTATTCCCTGTTGATTTCAGATGCTTAACACAGATTCTAGAAAGTCTTACTTTCTCCCAAGGAATAACTAATACCCTGTGGTATTAGGCAGGCTCTTTACACAGTAACATCATGATCATTTTTAGCAAAAGGAAATGGTCTGTGATTATTGAGCTATTATTTCCCATGAGTCCTCAAAAAGATGGACTAGGGAAAGCTAATCAGTAGTTTTGTCAGTTTCTTATTATTAGTGTGATCATCTGATGTGTTGGAATGTACAGATTGCCTATGGGGAGAAGAGTGTCATTTCTCTTTGGAAAAATAACCTGCCTAACTTACCTTTATAGAACCTCAGGAAGTCTTTATTAACTTACAATTTTTAATCATTAATACAGGCTTAGATAAGTAGGTTATATCAGCAAATAGGATTTCAATTTATCTAAGACCATAGTCACAAGATTCATGATTTTTGTTTGTGGAAGTGAGTCTTAAATATCTTTGAGAAAACTAAAGTGATGATGAGATATTTTGGAGGTTCATCTTAAAATTTTAGAAGAATACGGTAATAGTAATTTGTTCGGATTTCTGGTCTGTGATGTAAGAAGCTTGCAAATTGTCACTCTATCTCAAGTAAAAAGCTGAGGAAACTGAAAAGTCAACAACTCTTCTTATTTTCAAAAGACAAGGGACACAAGTGGTTTGGAGTCAAACCACTGTCCCCGCAAATTGGAGAGACTGACAGATAAATGCAGAGAAATAAAATTTACCTGATAGACACTCACCAGCTGAAACCTCTGTGGAAACCAGTGCAAGGGTGGAGAAACCTGAACTATAATTGATGAACTGCTAGAGGTCCAGTAAGCACAAGTTTGAAAGTTAAAAATTCCATAGTAACACAGTCATGCAGGTTGAGTCCACACACTTATAAATTTTACCTCCAAGAATTCTACCAGATCCTCATAGTGAATACTGAAAAAAAACAATCATCTCATGCTGTCCACACACTCATAAATTTTACCTCCAAGAATTCTACCAGGTCCTCATAGTGAATACTGAAAAAAAAATCAGGTCTTGCTTCCCAGCAGGAAGAGGGGAAAAGGAACCATTTTGAAATACTCCAGAGCTTTCTGTTTTCTGTAATAAAGCCTGCACAAGGAGGGGCTATTTAATAAGAGCTTAACCTGCAGTAGTTTTCTCAGAGCCTAACTTACCCGGAGAAATGAGGAGACCCAACTTCATCAAGCTCTAGTCTTCCATGTGGAGGAAGGGAAAGACCAACTTCAGCCAAGTCAAACTATGCTGTCCCCAGAAGGGGAGAATAGGGGAACAAAGAAGCACATGTGAATTTCACAGCTGAGAGGCACAGGCTCACTATAAAACTGAGACCTAGTCAAAGACTATAGAACCCATTCCTTCCACCTACACCTTGCCACCACATTACTAAAGACCTACTAATAAACTTAATTTTTACCCAATACATCATTTCTGACCATCAGGGAAAAAATTACAAGGCCTACTAAAAGACAAAAAAATACAGTTTGAAGAGAGAGACCAGGCATCAGAACCAGACTCATATATTGCAGGGATGTTGGAATTATCAGACTGGCAATTTAAAACAATTTTGATTAATATGCTGAGGTTACTGTTATGTTTTCTTTCTAATTTGATCTTAAAGTCTCACTCTTGAGAGTGCTCATAAGGCAAAATATTCCCTTTCCAGAGGAAAGTAAGTTTTGGATGTGTTGGTGAGCTGAGACACAATGAGGAAGTGAAACAGAAATGCTTGCAACAGAAAGAAAAAAAGATTACAGATTCCTGAGAGGTTAGAAGTGCCATCCAAAGGGAAAAGGAATGCTGCAGGTGACAAGGAGTTCAACCAGCAGGTGGGAAGTGAGAAAGAAATAGAACCTGTAAGTCTATGCCTTTATTTATAGGCATATGGGTTTATGGACATCCCTCAGGCTTCGTCATGGGATTTGTAGATCGCTTAGTTTAAAAACACATGTGAAGGAATGGAGTTATTTACAAGACTCTGGTGTTAACCGTTATGTTTGATCATGGTCAGCAGCTATGAAGTGTGTTGAGTTGTGGATCTGTTAGATAAGAAACAAGCGGACTATATTATCCATAACCACTAAGTGAGGGGAAGTTTTAACTAATCCAAAGGTGACAAACTATGACTGGGTTTCAGAAAAATTAATGTCAGGCTTAAAAATGGATGGTGAGGCAGCAAATATATCACACAAATTTATAAGAAAAGAGCTCTAATGGATAAAGTAGACAGTTTTCAGAAACAGGGAAAAAAAGTAAAGAGATGAACATTTTAAGAAAGAACAACAACAAAAAGGCTGGAGATAAAAAATGTTATAACAGAAATAGAGATGCCTTTGACAGGCTTGTAAGTAGATAACACAGGGATGAGGAATCTCTGAGCTTGAGGATACCTCAGTAGAGACATCCAAAAGTTTAAAAGGAAACAGGAAAAAAAAGGCAGGAAAAATAAAACAGAATAAAACAGACCACAATATCTAAGAACTGTGGGATAGTCGCATAAAGTATAACCTAACTCTAAAGGAAATAGCAAGAGAAGAAGAAAGTAAGAAATAAACAGAAGAAATACTTCAAACAATAATGACTGAGAATTTTTCCAAATTAATGTCAAATGCCAAACCACAGACCCAGAAAGCTCAGAGAACGCAAAACAGGATAAATGTCAATAAAACTACACCTACACGTATCATTTTCAAACTACAAAATAAATAAATAAATAAATAAATAAATAAATAAATAAATAAATAAAGATTTTTTTTTTCAATTCTGAAAAAAACCAGAGGAAAGAAACACCTTTCCTAAAGAGGAGCAAAAATAAGAATTCTATTCAACTTCTCCCAAAAACTTTGCATTAAGAAAAGAGTGGAATGAAATATTTAAGACATCAAGGGAAAAACCTCACCAACCTAGAATTCTGTACCCTGCAAAATGATCCTTGCAAAGAGAAGGAAAAATAAAGATTTTCTCAGACAAACAAATATTGAGAAAATGCATTGCCAGTAGATCTGCCTTAGAAGAAATCACTGAAACTGAAACCAGGAAATCAATAGAGAAAACAAACCCCAGAGC